AATCTAAAAGCGAAACAGAAAACAGTTCACAGCCCAGAAATGAAAGCAAGTTCTAAAAGCTAGCTGTTCTTAACACTAAAGTTTACAGCCATCACCATCTGTTTGGAGGTGCAACCAAAAGGTTCTGCTGGATTTGTTGCTGCAACAGCAAAAAGAAACTTTTGAGAACTACACACTAGCTTCCAGATTTTTTCCTTCCAAAAAGTGAACTTCCATAAGCCTTTTGAAGATGGGATGTTGCGTAGATCAGGGTAACACATTTACTGGAGTTGGTTTTATTTTGGGTTGCGATATGAAAGCAATGCAAACACCATCCATTGAGGTTACTCTTCAACAACATTAACCAATTCATACTCAATGAGTGACAGATTGTTATCTTCCTTCACAGTGAAATTAGCAGGTTCAGCAACCTCAACACGGCCCCACTTGTCCACAGCAAGCCTCATTGATCCTTTAAACATGTCAATTTTTGCATTGCGAAGAGTTATGGTAGTCCCCTCTTTCATCAAGTCCACTGCCAAAAAAGAAAAAGACAATGTTAGTTGTAACTAGAACTGTGACCTTCCAACAAAGAAAGCATGTCCATTGCTTCCCCTATCTGACTTGGGAATAATAACAAGACAATGAAATATTTAAATGATCAAAGAAACAAATTCATAATCACTATCAAGTAAGATCTCATATAAGAAATTTCACTCCCAGTATGGTTAATTTGGTTCCCTGTGCATGTGCTTAAATTTTCTTTGATACCCTGACTTGCAATTTTGGACAATTTGAGAAGATTTTCCAGACTTGAGGCTCGGGATATATAACACTAAGCTCAGTACTTGTACTCTTGGTAATGAAGATGAGCGTAAATCTTTTTTTCTTTTTTTGCCTTGTAGTTTCAGTCTTTCAAAGGCAGTTACGCAAAGCATTTTACAGACATGTAATATAGCAACAGCACCTGGTAACTAGTCAGACGAACTTAGTTGGAGGATCAACGATTTCAGAGGGAAATTGTCCAGTCTTACTGAGGTTAACTTGAACTGCATACATGTATCATATTCAGAAGTAAGGCAACTCTAGAAGACAATCTGGAAAATCAAAGTCTCCAAGAGCTACATTCTTACATATTGTAGTAGCTGTTTGATCTATTGTTAGTTCTCTTTAACTTATATTACCTTATGACATGTAGAAAAGCTAGGATATATTCAGCCAAGTTAAGAGCTTTAGTAGCGTTTCTGGGTGAATGGACCAGCTTGTGTAACTTGGTAGCAGACTATTCTGCTTTCTTTGGATATAGTAAAATTAAAGTCCAAAAATCTAAAGATTTTGCATCCCACTCCATATTAATCAAGAAATAAGGGTTTCGCATCAGTAGAAAATACAAGATAGATGAGTTCAGTCGTCAACTATAAGCAGCAGAATGCACTTGAACACCTAAAACATCATCTCTGAGGTCAACAATACGCAATAACAAAGTTTGGCATCATTATAGATGCAATGCAATATTCGAATAGTAATAGTTTTCCTTTATGTTAAGGGCATTACAGATTGTCATGTGCTACTAATTGGATGAGCTGATGAGACAATGACTTTGCAAGGAATTGTAATCGGTTAGAATCATGGGATCCGTATGAATCAAAGCTGTTAACGTTCAAACATCGAATTGCCGAAACAGGGCATCGACAATGATCAAAGACTAGCATATGTTAAATCTGGAAGCATGTGATGCATGCAACTTATCTACATTGAAGAATGGAGATAATTTGAGAAGGCATATGGGTGATTAGAAAACAGGTCCACCAAACACTGCTTGCTATGAGATCCCTATTTGGCATGGTTACTCAAGTGTCTATGAAGATATATCTCCTTTTCATTTCAAAAGCAACAACTAGCATTCGTTCCATTCCCAGAAACTACCATCAACCATAATCTCAGATTAATCGTGTTGAAGGAATTTGGCCACACTCAATCTTTACTTCTATTATTCCACAAGGCGATGAAAAAATGCATAGTACATAAAATACAAACCATCTAACCAATGCTGCATTATTTGTCTAAAAGAGAAGAGAATACAATACAAAAAATGACCAGCGACGGAAAAATTCCCCAATGAAAATGCAAAAAGTAAAAAATAAACTAACTAAATTTTGACATTGTAAGATGCATGACAAGTGAAACCTCTAGTAACAACAAAAATAAAAATATTACACAAATTACAAGAATATACCTTGTTCATTTCTAGCAGTAAAGATAATCATTCCGGTTTCATCTCCTACCAAGCATTCAGCAATTCGCATTTGGCGAACCTGAGGACCATCGGCCCGACCCTTCTGCAGTACCATCTTTGTACTGACAACCTTGACAGTAAGAGTGTGACCACTAGTGCCAGGGCGAAGTTGGTCCACCTTGGTGAAAACAGGTTTCCTCAATGGATTTGATTCCGCCATTTCAATACCTTCAAAAAAAAAATACAGACACGTACCATAAGCAAATCGACAAGATAAACCAGCTTTGGAAAAATTGTGGAGAACCAGAGCAAATGATTCACTGCATTCCACATTTAAAAAAAAAAACATGAAATGGTGAAACGATATGATTTGAAACTCCAATTGATTTTCTAACAAAATCCAAGATCCAAGCAGTTCGTTCAATAAAAAAAAAGAAGTCTGTTCAGCTTCCAAAGGACTTAAACTTCTAACAACAGTAAAAAATAGGCCTACTCAGATTAATATATATAGATAGATAGATAGAACAGTAAAACCCCTAACTTGCCCTAAAATTACATATTTCGATAGAAAACAGACAGATCAGAGAATATAATCAGTCAAATCTAACGAATTGGAGTAGTCTGGTTCTCGTCTATGATAATTTAACGAAATCGTAATGAGTGATAAATTTTTAAATGAAATACAAACGAAAGCAAACAACAAATTTCAACTTGGCCCCAAAAAGAGAACTAATTAAAAGAATAGTTCTAGAATTAAAGAAATTAGGGTTTCGAAATTACCTATTAGGAGAGCGAAATAAAATGGGGATTAGAGAGAAAGAGCGAGAGAGATCTGTGTACGAAACGGCACCTAAAAGGTTTGCTTCAATAACCATCGTTCGTTTTATCTTAATTTGCTATGCATAACCGTGCAGATAATATAGGATAAACTATAATCATGGTCCCTAAAGTTTAGAAACCTTTTTCTTTTGGTCATTAAAGTTTTAGAAGCAATGTTTTGATCACAATGGCTTGAAGAGGTTTTACTGGCCGGCTGTTGTGCTTTCTCACGCTGTTTTACTGGTTGTTCGTTACACGTTAATACTACAACATAATCCCAAACCAAGCGAGTTCACAATTAAAAAATAATTGTTATTTTTTAAGGTTTTAAGTTTAATTACTATGAATATTGAAAGTATGATCGTTTAATATTAAATAATTAAGAGTTATATTTAAGCAGATATTATTTTGTATTTATTCAAAATTAATAATACAAAAAGGTGACTTAGTATAATCAGACAAGAGATGTAAGAAGTTAAATTGGAATAAAAATAATAGAAAAACGTTAGGAGAAGAATAAAAAATGTGCTTAAGTTGTATTTTACTTTAATTTTTTTCTCTAATAAATTTGGGATAAATACAAAATAATATCTTCTCGAAAACTTTCAATCTTTTGATAATAAACACTCATATTTTTGTATATGTGATGCTCAAACTTTAAAAAATAACAATAAATCTCTTAATTAATGAAATCGTTTAATTCATATAATATTTACTTAATTGAATAAAGTGAATGACCTTATAAATAAAAAGTTATTATTTGATTACTTTATTAATATAACGACTAATTGGTTCATTTGATGTTAACTCTTTTTTACAAATACTTAAAATTTTATTAATTTTCAAAAATTTAAATTATATTTGAGTTTCTTGTTTTTAAAATAGGGTAAAATTTTAAATTACATTTGATGTTTTGATTATTCACCATTAAAAGATTAACAATAATTATGATGTGTCACCATAAGGTAATGTCATGTCATTATTGAATAATAATAAGAATGAAACGTCGATAGTTCTGTTTATTTTAATAACAAATGACTAAAACATAACCAAAATGTAACATTATATATGATTTTGAAAAGAAAATAGTTAGATAACTTAAACAAATCTAAAGTAATAGTTGGATGACTAAATACATAGTTTACCCATTAAACTATTACACCATTAACAATATTCACTTAATTAGAACCTAATTACGAATCAATCAAGTTTAGCCCTAATTTTCTCTCTCTATCTCTTTTTTTGCACACTCGTCCCTTTTATTATTCATATTTGTTGGCCGACAACGCTGATCGTCGACCGTTAAAATTCTTTATCTTCCATTCGTATTTATTTTTCCCTTTTTTGTTTTTAACAACTACATTTTTATGTCACATTTTTTTTTTTGTCTTTTGACACAATTTTGATCTTCTTTATTGATCATTTTAATCGATATATTTATTTCATTTTTTCAGGGTTGGATTTAATATTGTCTCAACTTATTAAGATGATGCTTATTTGTTGTCATATTGATCTTTCTTACTTTAGATCCTCATATTAGATTTAGGTACGCAATTTACGTTCGACGATAGTTTTCTCACAAAATTTAAATTTAATTTAATATTATTGATGATCTTTCAATAATTTAATCTCATGTTTTGATTTATTTCTTAATACAGTCAAGTTTATTTGTATTCATATTTTGTTAAAGTTTTTTATAAATTTTTTATTTGATTTTTTGTGTGATTACAAATAAAAAATTTCTTATACCAATGTCAATAGTTATAAAAATACTTAATTGTATATTTAATTTACATTTAGTTTTTAATAAAATTAACCATTTATATTTGCATAAAAAAATTACGGATCAATCAGTCATCACGAGTGATATTGATTGGTGATAAAACTCTAGCACTTTCCAGAATTCTTTTACTGCTTTGGGATTTTAAAAATTATTGTGGTTCTCATTTTCATGGCAGAAAAACATTTATTTGTTAGTGATATCGGGAGGAGGAGATAAGCCGCTGTGTCCGACACTTGAAGGGCATTGGAAAAGAAAAATGAGAGCCACACTTCCGAAACCCCATCTCCAGTTCTTCCCTTCTCCTCTGCCACTTTCTTTCAACAAACCTTCATTAGCTTTCCCGGAAACCAGAAGGAAATCACCGAGCACCACCTTTACCCCGAAGGGCACGTCATCGCCTTCATTCGGTCGTGTTCCACTACGGGTCAGTGCGAGTTCTCAAGCCGCTTCTGCAACTGAAACAGCCAAATCGACGGCGGTGCCCAGCGAAATGAAGGCTTGGATATATGGGGAATACGGTGGTGTCGATGTTTTGAAGTTTGATGAGAAAGTGGCCGTTCCAGAAGTGAAGGAAGATCAGGTGCTGATAAAAGTGGTCGCTGCTGCTCTTAACCCTGTTGATGCAAAGCGGAGGCAGGGCAAGTTTAAGGCTACCGATTCTCCTCTTCCGGTAATTTTTCTCCCTTTACCTTTGCCTGCAAGTTTTAGTTTGGATTGAAGTTTCCTGTTCACTGGTTTTCCATTGAAACGACCAGGAATTGTTTGTAAAAGTTCTCCAACTTTGATAGTAATCATATTACTAAGAGAGAGATTGATATAATTTAAATCTGGTTTCATTCCGTGGCTTCCATAGCTCAGTTGGTTAGAGCATCCGTTTAGTAAGTAGGTCTTGAGTTCTACTCTCAATTAAAAGCATCTTTTTTCTTTTTGTCTCTGAATCCGTTTTTGACTTGGTTTTCCTATAGACTGTTCCAGGCTATGATGTTGCTGGTGTGGTGGTAAAGGTTGGGAGTCAAGTGAAGGAGCTGAAGGAAGGAGATGAAGTGTACGGAAACATAAATGAGAAAGCATTAGAAGGTCCTAAGCAGTTTGGTTCCCTTGCTGAGTACACTGCAGTTGAAGAGAAGCTGCTGGCATTAAAGCCCAAAAATCTCGATTTCTCCCAAGCTGCTGGCCTTCCTCTTGCCATTGAAACGGCCTACGAGGCTCTCGAGAGGACCGGCTTTTCTGCCGGTAAATCAATTCTTGTTCTGAATGGTGCTGGTGGTGTTGGAAGCTTAGTGATTCAGGTATGGCATCCCATCGTCATTTGAAACTTGCCTCTTCTGCAATAAATTTAACACTTGCCTTGAAAGTTTTGAATAAGGCACCACCGATGTGCTTTAAGTTTCTAGCTTCTTACATTATGGTCGTGCATTTAGCGTTTTGAATATTGTTCTTCCCATTTGTGCAGTTAGCAAAACAAGTATTCGGTGCTTCGAAAGTTGCAGCTACTTCGAGTACCGGAAAACTGGAATTGCTGAAGAGCTTAGGTGCCGACTTGGCTATCGATTACACAAAGGAGAACTTCGAAGATTTCCCAGAAAAATTCGATGTAGTCATTGATGCCGTTGGTAAGATAATAACGTTCTTCCTAAATATGTATGGCATGCCTAAGCCGAATTCGAATCTTTCTCGGTGTTTCTTTGTAGGACGCTGAGATTTTTGGGGACCGCTTTGCATATTTGATTGTTTCATCTTGGTTACAGGACAATGTGATAAGGCAGTAAAGGCAGTAAAAGAAGGCGGTAGCGTCGCGGCCCTGACCGGCGCTGTTACACCACCTGGTTTCAGATTTGTTGTTACTTCTAATGGGGAGGTTCTCAAGAAACTAAATCCGTATTTAGAGAGCGGGAAAGTGAAGCCAGTTGTTGACCCCAAGGGGCCATTCCCATTCGCTCAAGTCGCCGAGGCTTTCGCATACATTGAAACAAATCGAGCGACCGGAAAGGTAGTTATACACCCAATTCCATAAACAAAACAGAGAAAGGGAAACAGCCATTTTCTATTGCCTGCTGCAATTCCTGTCAATAGTTAGAACCAAATGCCATCGTACGTATGAATTATACGAATTTGTAATGAGATTTTGCGTGCTACATTTCGTATGTTTCCGTTGTTGTTCGGTAGCTATCATTAACGTATATCGGTTTCATGGTGAATTTGTGTAATTTTAGAGGACTATAACAAATGATCAATAAAACTATAGTTAAATTATATGAAAATTTAAAATTTTCAGAATAACAATCCATTAGCTCATGGTCTATCCCTGTCCATCACTTATTTTATGAACTATCATATACCTTATCAATGGAGGGATGAGTAGGTGGTTCTACAAAATTGGCAGATGGAAAGGATATACAACCCTAGGATGCAGGGAATGGGAGCATGGTCACATTCACATTTAATAATGGGAGTGTCCATTGTTGCCGGTGGTATAGGGACCTTAGCTTGGTGGTCCAACAAATGTGTGGAAACAAAAGATTAAAACAGGACAGATGCAATGTTTTTGTTGTTGGTTTCTTGAGAGCCATGCAATGCCAATGCATTTGCATAATGGCATGTGATGTGATCCTTCCACGTTCAGGCAATAGCTACAAGCTGTCTTTGCCTGCTGTGGACCATCTCCATTACTTTAGGTGCTGTCGCCTGTTGCTTATTTTAATAATAGCCTGCTTCTTCTTCTTCTTCATATCCATTAATATTTAATCTACTGATAGTTTAATGTAAGTCGGATATAATTTAGGCGTATTATAAGAGTAATTATTTTAATTATTTTTTTTAATCTTGTATAACGAAATTGAATCATGATGGCTTCAAAATTTTAGTTTTTTTTTTCTTTTCTCTAAGATGATTATCTAGTTTTTCTTTCAAAGTGTTGTCTCAAGCTACAACCCAAGTGTCACCGTCTTTTTAGTTTTTTTATTTAATTTTTTGATTCAGATATAAATAAACGTCTTTTCCGTTTTGATTTCTTTCTTTTCGCATATTCTTGAAACATTGATTTTTGCATGGTTTTATGACATGTTTGTTTCTCAGCTTTTATAGTACGATTTCATCTGTCATTATGATAATTGGACGTTTCCTTTGCATTTATCACGGCGTCTTTCATAGTCAAGAAATGTCGATAGTCTTTCATAGTTGGATCTCTTTTTGAGAAAATTTGTCGATAGCATTCAAAATCATTCATAGATTAATCTGTCAGATTAATTATCTTAATCTCCATGCCTGCATAAGTATTACGTCTAGGTTCGAATTGAGAGGAGATTATTAATAGTTGCTAGGTATTTGTGGAAGATGGAACATATATTCAAGGAAAATTTTTAGTTTTATTTTTCTTTACGCCCTTTCATTTCTATGTTAGAATTGTATTCTTTTTTTATTTTACCTTTTTTTTTTATTAAAAACTTTAATTTTATTTTTAAAAATTTATGACAGTTCGTCTTTGATACCATGAGTTTGTTTTTTTTTTTTTTTTAAATTATTATGATTCTATTTAGCGAAATTAAAAAGGTTTAATTTTATCATCGATCTTTGATTTCATTATAAATGCAAATCTAACTATAGTTACTCGGTTGTGTTTAACTCAAACGACTGATGAGTGGTGACGACTCTAATCGCATGTCATACTTTTCCAAAATTTCATATTTTAACAGCCACCAATTATTTTAAAGATGGTCTTGAATAATTTATTGGAGAGGATATTTGGGAACAGTTCGAGATTAGTAAGTCTCATATTATATTTAATTGATACGAGAGATTCGACTCTAATTTTTATATAATCCCATAAGATTCTATACTCAGAATCTATAATGTTACTTTTAGGTTCACGAGATTGTGCTTGTGTAAGAGGAACGCTTGAAACGATTGCTGAATTAGCCGATTAGTAAGTATGCGTGACTTCTACTAGTCTTGCGTGGCTCATCGTGCAAGTGTCCCAAAATTGGTACAAAGCGCTAGACTAATGTCATGAAGCATGAACCCATAATGCGTGAAGCTAGTGTTGAGTAGGCCATCGAGTGCGGTCAATGAGCGGCCTTATTGAGCAGCGTTATGCTCTTGAGTAATGCCTTTGGATTGTGGCACACAAGGAGCGATGTGCCCTTGTGGATATGGTGTTAGGTTCTTGCGGGCTGGGTGCCAAGAATGTGTTGAGAACAATAAGCTTGTTCCCTTGCTCTGTTCTCAGAAATTTAACCAACACAGAAACTGGAGAAAACACTGCTCCATTATGCTTAAGATATTTCAAAGACTAGAAATCAAACACCACTTTTATACACAAAGTTATTCAAAATGAACCGGACTCAACACAAATACGAACTTTTATTATTCTCAGAGATTGGTACCGACCGCGAAGAAATCATGCAAGCTATAGCAGCAGGCATTTTTCACTTTGATTGCAAGAGGATGGAGCTTTTGATTAGTGAAAACATGGTGAAACTGCTCAGGCTGTTGCTAAAGTGGGTGAAATCTGGAAATCTAGATTCCAGAGATCAAATTTTCCATTGACGAAATCGTAATGTGCACCTTTCAAGGCCATGGATTTGTTCACCACTGCTTCTCTCACGAAGGGATATGTCAATAGGTTCCCCAGAGATACATTCACTGCCTCCTGCATTTTAGGTTTAATATTCATACATTCAACGTTTTAATTCAGAAAGAATTTTTTTTTATTATTGCCACCATTATTACCTTCTCGCAGTTGTGGCATTGCTCCGAGAAACTTAACTCGTTACATTCTGATTTCACTTTGGTCTTTGCTGGTGCACAGATGCTTACCCAATTTTCTATGAAATCACTGCATTTTTCGTAATTCAAACATAATGCATCCAATATAAATATGTTTTTTATTATTATATGCCGCGATTAAAAATGTCGTCGTGTTACCTAGCGGTGGTCCCGTCGTCCGGAATGGACATGAGTCCTTTGATCCCTCCACAACAACTGTGTCCAATAACCACAATATTCTCCACCTGGAAAAGCATAAAGTTAAGAAAGCAATAGAGCTCTTCACACCACTAACAGATTAGTATTTCATCATTTGTTATTTCACTGTCCCATACCCCAATTTCTTTATTAAAAATCAAAAGGCTGAGCTAAAACTTTACAGTACTAATTCACCTTGAGATGCAGGACTGCATATTCAATGGCCGCACCAACTCCAGAGTATTTTGTCTGCAGAAAACAAAAACATAAAATACGTCGAAAAGAAAGAAATCAAGAAATCAAAACGGGGGCGGTGCCGGAGAATGTAAATACGAGGCTAACCTTGTCGTAGGGCGGGACCATGTTGGCAATGTTTCGGACAATAAAAGCCTCCCCTGGTTGGAAATCTAGGATGTGGGAAGGGCAGACTCGAGAATCCGAGCATGCAAACACCAAGAACTGTACAAAAGCTTCAATGTTAAGTAACAAAAAAAATAGGTAATCAAAACGTAACATTAAGTATGATTTAAAAAACTAGTTTGGTGACCAAAATAAAATTATGAGCATTGATGAATGACTAAATAAGTAATTTACCATTTTTTTGAGTGCGTATCCATTCATTCTTTTTCTTATCCCCGCCATTTCAAAAAGGGAAAGTGGTGAAAATAATGGCCATACACGTCCCATTTAGTCAACCAAAGCACACAATTATAAAGGTCACAGAGAGTTTAATTTATTGAGTTATTAGTATATTCTTGGTTAAAGTTTGATACTTTGGGAAAGAAATGGACCAACTCCTTCCATTAATGAAACAACAAGCCTCTCTGAACTTACCATGTGAAATAATAATCAGTAAATATATAAAAGAAAGTTGACCAATTATGATAAGATAAGAGCGAACCTTGGGGCTTTGCCCTTTGGCAAGAGCACCGTACAGATCAGGATTTTTCCTGGAAAATTTGAACAAAAAGGGACGAAAAGAAAAGCTTGGGTAAATTAAATGGAATCTGAAGCCAGCCAGCATCAAAATTCAACCACACACATATATTTTTTCTTCTTTTGAGAAATTAATCATGTTCACGCACTGTTCCCTTTTTAAAATGGATTAATATAAAAAAATCTCAAATTATAGTTTTTTTTATTCTGATGCTTAACTTTTTTTAGTTAATCTAAGTATCTAAAGTTTCTAATGCTATCATTTAGGCGCCTCAACTGAAATAGACATTAGAAAAATTTCGTCAATCACTCAGAATGTGACATGTGACACATTTATAAATATTTCAAAATTTATTTTTTAAAAAACTTAAAATTATAATTATTTTTCAAAAAAAGTCTAAAATCTAAAAAATTTCCTAAAATCCTTAATCACAAAATATCAACCCACTCGTCGGTTGTTGCAGTCCCCGTAGATGACTTCCTACACCTATTGATCGTCCCTAAATCCAACTCCTATATCCCTAAATTTCAACATCCGTCCATCCCAACCGATGGATAGGTGACTCACAGGCTAATGACCTGCGAGTAAGTACCTAAAATTATGATCGTCGATAGTGATGGTGATCGATATCATAATTGATAGCCTTGGGACATTTTATGAAAAAACATAAAAAAATTGAATTTTGTTGAAAATTTATGAATTTTATTTTTAAAAATTTATAAAAAATAAAAATTCAAACCACATGTTAAATACTGATTGATTGACTTATTTTTAACAGATTTTTTAACTACTGTTATCGTTTAGGCATCTAAATTGATAAAAAAATATTAAACACCTAAATGAAAAAAGAAGTATAATTTAGTTATTTATTTTTATATTAATTTTTAAAATCAATTTTCTTTATTAATTATTATATATGAAAACAAAAAGGTAGACAATCATTTAATATTTTCTAGGAAAGTCATTAATGACGCTTTGTTAAGTTGGAAAGACACATGAAGAAACGAAAAATGGGAAAGCAGTTAGTTGCGTACTCGTATTTTTCTTTCTTGAAGTGAAGGAAACCGGTTTCGATCCGCTTGACCGGGTCGAACTTAGTCGGATCTGCGGCAGCCGCCTCAAGCTCCGCTGTTATCTGCTTGATCTTTGCCGCGGCGACGCTCCCGAGATCAGCTTTGTCACTGTAACCGAGGACGTACGTACGCCAATAAATGAAAAACCGTTACGGAGTTTTCAATGGGAACAGAAATATAGGTAACGGTCCAAGGCTGGACCCCACTTCCAGAAGAAAAAAAACACGGTGTTCCGTGTTCGAAGAAACCGTCAAAACGACGGATAAGGACGGCAAACTGAGTTATCGGAAAGTACAGCACTGTAATAATAATACCTGAGAAGCTCCGACAAAGCTGCAATGGCTTCCTCGTATGATTCATAGCCCATGTTGTCTTCTTTCTGCTAGCTCAAAAAAATATTCAAAATCAAGAATATTAATCAACAGAACACGATGAAACCAAAAGACAAAGAACAAGTTTAAAAAGTAAATCAAAAGGTGAGTTGAACCGGACAAACTTTGTGTCTGGCTCAGAATTTGATAATAAAAACACTAAGCAGAAGAGAAAAACATTCCAAAAGCTAGACAAGTTGATAATCAACCTTTTATTTTTCGGAGATATCAGCTCTTATGATCAGCTTCTGCTACAGATTAGGGTCTATATTTATACTGGTTTATTAATGACCACGGTAAATGAAATTAACCAAAGGTTAAATCAAAGGATGGTTAAAGTTTAAAAAAAAGAAAGAAAGAAGATGAAATGATTTACATTTTGAAGAAATGGAAATTTGGTTTCATTACATCATACAATATCGGTGGACGCGGTTCTCTTGTGTTTGTATACGGTAAGCAAAATTTGGCGGTCTACAGGAGAAGTGGTGGGGTGTTGCGTGGTGTAGAAATGATTTAGTGTTGTCCGTTTGATTGAGGTTTCAATTGGTTGATCGGACGGTGAATGACTTGTTTTAGGAAAAGGCCGAGAAACATCTTTAAGGGATAAACTGCAAATCTCATCTATCAACTTTATCTTTACTCATGTTTTTGGTTTCTAAACTTTATATATGCTAACTTGGTTATTTAACTTTTATATTGGTGAACGAATTAAATAATTTTTATTGTCAAAAGAATGATTGTTATTTATAAATGTTATGAGTTCGAGCACGACATGTAAAGTGTTTAAGTATTCATTATCAAATAATTGAAATTCTTTGAAACAAATATTATCTTATAATCATCACATACAGAGGAGTTATGTTGGGACCCAAAAGAGCCCCGGTCCCCGTAAAATTTTTATATATTTGATAGATTTTAGTCTAATAGTATTTTGGTTCATATAAGAATAAATATTCAAATTAAAAAAATATAATAATTTAGTAAATATTTAATCAAGTAAGGGTCGAACTAAAGAATGATAATCATATGTTCTCAAATTCTTTGGTCTAATAACAATTTAGTTCATTGTAAGTTTAAATAGTAGACAAGTTAGACATTATCATTTGAAATTCGAGTTTAAATATTTAATATCATTGTATTTTTCTTAAAAAGTTTAATATTTCGACATATGTTAATATTTAATCCTGATTTCGTCTCTAATCACATACTACTAGAAAAATTTTGTATTATATTTTGTTTTATGTGACTCGATCATTAAATTACAAACTATATAATAATATAATCTATTTTTTTACGTAAAAGTCATGTTCGTCTTTTTTCCCTCTTCTTTCCTATTTTTTCAATTCATCACTTTCTCAATAATTATATCATCTTGATCGATTAGTACTCCTTTTGTTGTCTATCATTCTAAACTAATCATTAATCAAACGTTCACTCATGCTTGAATCATTATCTTGGTTTATCTTTTCCCTCGAATCCAATGAAAAAAATGTATTTTATACTATAAAGTCGAAATATTTTAATTGTTAAAAAAATAAAGTGCTATATGATTTATGTTTCAAATTATGAATTTGTTAAAAGTAAAGATTAAACGAAGGATTCATTTAATTTAGTTTTCAAATTATGGGTTTTCTTATGCTCTTTTAGTGATAGAATTAACCTATATTAGAAGGATTGCTTGTTACTAAATATGAGAAATAATGAGCGTTTTTTTTAAGAAATAAACAAACAAAAATATCGTTTTAATGGATCTTCTACAATCTTAGCTTTTATTTGAAGGTTTCATCTTTATTGTAGTGAGGAGTAATATATATTTCAGTGATAAATGATGAGATCAATGAACAAAAAGTGGGTTTAATGTTAAACTTATAGGAATATTTAGGATTAAATAATTAAAACAAGTATTGGTTTTGCGTTCAAAAAGGCAAATCAAATTTAGTATAAATTTATGAGATTCATCGATCGTCGTTGATAAAGATCAATAGTAACTAGAACGACAAACAATGAAATGATCGATTGTGACGAGTGAGCGAGAATGAAGAAAAGAGAAAAGAAAAGAAATAGTATTTTTATATGAATCTAAAATGATATTATTTAATATATTTAATTTATAAAATATAAAATGACATTATTTTTGTGTGAATTATCATATCAAAGTACAATCTGTAATTTCACAGTTGAATAATAAAAGATAAAAACAATATTAAAATTTAATATTATTAAAATTCATGACAAAATATGAGTGAAATCAATATTGAGTAATTAAATTTGCAGTTTACTGTTATCAAAATTGGGGAGCTACGGCTACAGGGAATTACGGCGGGCCAAAGTCAAATAGGAGGGAAGGCTGCCACGTGCTGGGATTTCCCATCGTGATGACAATGAAATTGATTGATCTAGTTATGAAGTTTGCGAACAAAACACATTCATGATAGTTTTTCCACAAACAATTTTAAAGGCTTCACATATTAGCTATAATAACTTTAAAGATTAAATAAATATAATTTAAATTATTATTTATATATCAGTGGTAAAACTTTTAACTCTATAAATTAGTTAAATCCATGATGATCTATTTATTTTTTATTTCTGAAATAAATTGAAGATAATTTATTGATACGATATCACTTGTGAAACTAGATAATTCCACAACTAAATAATTCTCAGGATAAATTACCTTTTTAATTCAACTTTTGGATAATTTTGTACAAAAAAAAACCTGAAACTTTCTTCTCAGATCTATATTTTTTAATTTCATTTGATTCATTGAGATTAGAATATTTTCTTTTAAATCTAAATGATAGAAAGGCTGAGAATGAGAGAAACAAAAATATATTGATTCCATATTGATTAGATTATGGAGATTGTTGATCAGACTAAGAAAGATCGAAGCTTTGATTTGAATTTTGTTGATTTCAAGAAAAAATAAATTCAGAAGAAGAAAGAGAAAAAATGAGAATATTTTATTATTAGATTCGTTTAGGGATGATCATAGGATATGGGGGTTTCATTAGACCCGATCCCAATCCAAAATTCCTGCTGTTTAACTCAACCATGGACTGATCCAAAGTATAATATTGATATACTCAACCCAACGAATTTGGGTATTTTATTCATCTCTAATTGCGTAGCAAATGTTGTATTTTGATACCGTCATTAGATATCTAACGATTGAGTGATCAAAACAAATGAAATTGAAAAAATTAATGATGAGATTAAAAAAATTGTAGTTGAGTAATTAAAATAGAAATGCAAATAAACTTAGGTGATAGAAAAGTAGTTTATCCTAATTTTAAAGAATATCTTGAAGTATGTGTAGTCCAACTTTTCCCATTTAATGGAAGATTCAGATTATATTATTATAATTTAGACTTAGTTTAACGGATAGACTAAAATATTAAATTTAAAAAAATTAAGCGTGAAATGTGACCGAAGATGATTTGAGTATTGAATTGAATTTTATATGATTTTGAAACTTATTAAATTATAATTTTATAAAAAATGGAAGTATAAAAAAATAGAAGGTTGACTGCTCCCTTAAGGTGCAAATCTAAAAGGGTCTTGTTTCGAGTGCCCGAAGGGTAAAACAATAAAGAAGCCGCAGGTCTCTCCTCGAGCAAGATAGAAGCTACACGTCATGTTATTTTTTCTATAAAAAAAATAAAAATGCTTAATTATTCTAAAGTTTTACATTTCTATTAAAAAGATTAATTATTGTTTTTTTATAAAACTATATATTTATATGTTTAAAATAATTTTGAAAGTATTAAAATCATAAAAATATTGTTTATCCAGTAAATAATAATTCAAATTGTATATGGTCACAAATATCCTAATCTCAATCCATTATGTAAAAACATACAACAACAACAACAACAACAACAAAACCCAATTCCCATATGTATGGGGTAAGGGGGAGGTAGGGTAGTAGGCTACCCCCAACGCCAGGTTGAGAGTAGCTTCCGTGGAAGACCTCCGGCAGTCAGAAAATTAAAAATTTAGATAAAATGCAATGCATGTATAAATAAATACATAAATACATAGCTAAACAGTATTCATATGCAGTCATTAAAATCATATGTGCGTCTGTAATGGGAATTAATCTCTGCATAATAATCCCTGCGAAAGAATCTCTGCATATAGACAGAAACATAAGATCCGGCTAAATTTAAAAGAGGAAAGAGGAAACATGAAGAGAATGATACACAGAAGTCAACGTTATCAAGCCCAGTTCTAATCCTTCATAAATACCAATAACATAAACGTATAAAAAGTATAAGTCATGGAAAATACTACAAAGACATTAAAAGAAGACAGAGATGATACACCCTATAGATGTGACCCACACTACTCGACTACCCTAGTCTTTAGCCTCCATATTTTCCTATCAGAGGTCATGTCTTCGGTAAGGGCTAAATCCCTCAAATCAGATCTTAAGCAGTCTTCCCACTTTCGCCTTGGTCGTCCTTTCCTTCTGGCACCGTCGACTGTAATCGACTCTACCCTCCTTACCGCATCCGACGGTAGTCGCCTAAGGACATGCCCAAACCACCGTAGTCTTCCCTCCCTCAATTTTTCGGAAACAGACACCACCCCCAAGGACATCCTAATAGCAGAGTTTGTCGTCATATCCCTCAGAGTCCTACCACATGTCCATCGAAGCATTCTCATTTCTGCGGCCTCAATCCTCCTTACGTGATCCTTCTTGGTTGCCCAACATTCTGATCCATACAACAGCGCTGGTCTTATTGCCATTCTATAAAATTTTCCCTTAAGTTTTAGAGGGACCTTCTTGTCACACAGAACTCCAGTAGCGGCCCTCCACTTTAGCCATCCCGCCTTTATACGGTGTGTAACGTCATCATCTACACCCCCATCTTTATGTATCATAGACCCTAGGTACTTGAAACAATCCTTTGAGGGGAGAACGTGTCCTTCTATGCATACTTCTACATCTTCATCGTTTTGGTTCCCATTGAAGTTTGAACATAAATACTCTGTCTTTTCAATATTGATCCTTAAACCTTTTTCTTCCAAAGCAGTCTTCCAGGTAGCCAGTCTACTATTCAACTCAGATTTTGTTTCAGCAACTAAGACAATGTCGTCAGCGAAAAGCATACACCATGGTACACCGTCTGGTGTCGCACAATAGATGTCGTCCATAATCAAGGCGAAGATGTAAGGGCTAAGAGCCGACCCCTGGTGGAGTCCGATTTCCACCGGGAATGCCTTGGTGTCGCCAACTGTAGTCCTGACGTAAGTAGTAGTGTAAAGTATATAAATGATCCCAACTAGAAGGTAATATTTTGTTGAGTCTTGTGATTATTAAAAGCTATAAAATGGTCCCCAACTAAAAGACAATGTTTAGTTGAGTCCCTCAATTATTGAAGTTATAAAATGATCACCTTAACTATTTATATGTTTCAAACTAATCATTTTCTGTTAAAAAATTGAAGGTCACCTAAGCTGAACGTAACATGCTAAATGAGATATGATAAAATTATATTTTACTGATATCTATAAATGTCGTCGTTGTTTTCAAGCACTGGCTCGACGATATAATGTTTCAAGCACTTACTCGACGATATAATGTAAATGAAGAGTCGATCTACAAAATACAACTCAAACAGTTTTAAGATTATATTTTATCATATCTCAATTTATAGATTAGCGTTAAGCTCAGACAACCACTAATTTTTTAATGGGAAAAGATGAATTTGTAACATATGAATAGTTGAGTAACTATTTTGTAATTTTTAATAGTCAGTGACTCAACAAAATAACATCCTATAGTTGAGAAATTATTTTGTGTACGTTACCCTAGTTTTTTTTTTTACGTAACTTTTAATTGGATTGAGATTAAGATACTTGTGACCATATCCAATTTGAATTATTATTTACTCAATAAACAATACTTTTATAATTTGAACATTTTTAAATAATAAAAAGGGTATTTTGAATTCATTCCGATTCATAAAACACCTTCACTTGTTACTAATTATTTTTATTTTTTTAATAGTTTGAGATAACTATAAGTTGAAATGTTTCTTAATTTATTGACATAACACACTCTACATACGCCATTGTTTAAATATAGAACTTCTAGAGAAATCAATATTTTATTTTATTATTAAGACGACTTGATAGATTCATTAATTATTTTTTATTAGTAGTAAACGAATGGTGATTTTTTAAATAATTATTTTTTGAAGATTGAAAATATTTTTTTTAAGAAAAGGGTGGATGTGTTGTATAAGGTTACATAAATGGAATGGAAAGTGCCACCAAATTTAATGCCAAAATGTTGAGATCATAACATCATACACTTTGTAAATTTTCGAGCCATGGGCTCGGTTCAGTTCACTCGACCGCCTGTTTGGGATTACACAGTTTCAAACTATTTTTAGGAAGAAAAAACTACACATAAAAAACAAAGGAACAACATGCAGAAATGAAGATATAGAACTATGATGCTTTTGAGAAAATTAATGTTTTCTGAATTATATTATTCAGCTGAATTTTTCAAAACAGTTGAATAAACATTTATGTTTTTTAATCTGTTCAAATAAATATTTAATATTTTTATTTAAAAATATATTTTTTTAAAAATATTAGGCCTTTGTTTGAGTAAATTAAAAATTATTAAACTGAACGTTTTGAAAGATTAAATCTTTATTTGAGTAAATTCAAAAATATTAAATCCTTATTTGTACAAGTAATCATTAAGAAGTCAAATTCTTATTTAAACAGTTTTACTATTTTTAAAATATTTTTCATCATTATTACACCAAATAATTTTCCTTTCAAATTTTATGAAATATATATATATAATGAATCAAAATTCGGAATGAACCAAATCTCATCAAGTAGGATTCAAACTTACGACCTGTCAGTTAACAGCCGACCGCTCCACTGCTGAGCTACTGAGGAACAACGAGAGATTATATCTCATAGAGTTCAATTCCCGTTTCTTTCAATGTATCATTTCTGGGTTCGATGGAATTCCTAAGTATAAGAAGAAGTCCCGTCAAATAGAAAAAATTAAAAAAAGGGCTCAACTTTCTTTTTAAAGAGGCATACTATAAAAATAGACATGTTTATGAAACTTCTTACCTGGATGGGAATCAAGAAAGTTCGAAGTTCGAAATATTAAATAAAGAATATATATATATATATATATATATATATATATAATCACTGGTATTTAATCTGTTGACCGACTAATCCGAATTGGGTAGTGTAAAGGCTAGGACGACCTTCTCAACCCTATTTGCTTCATTCGTAAACATTAGAATTTGAACTTCTAACCTTACTTAGGAGATCTAGAGTCTCATCCCATTAGACCAACCGGTTGTTTGTATCTATTTATATATTTATAACACCTGTATATATTAACCATGACCGAAATTATTAAATTTATATGTTTTAAATAATAAGCTATGACAGACTATTACATTCTTATACAGCGAACCCTTCAACTCGACCACAAACTTCAGTGTTCTATATTTATTTGACGTAGATACGAGGGTAAATACAGACTTTTGGTACTTAAATTTAATTTCAATATTCATTTTGATTAATTTTGAAACTTTTGAAAGATCGATGATCAAAATGATTATTTGAGCATAATTCAATGACCTCCGATGTACTTTATCCTCTTCATTTTTAGATATCTTACCGTTTACTTTTGTGTTTTCCTTTTATGGAAGTTGGAAGGAATCATGAAAGTCAAAATACAACTACACCGACAATCTGTTCCCAAAACATAAATATACATACATGTAGGGATCTACCAAGTGATTGGCCTTCAAATTAAAAAAGAAACATGAAAGACACATCGATTAATAAGTAAATCAAAATGCTAACTTGGAAGATTGGAGGTGAGGTCAACAACGATGGACCGCCTTTTGGTTGTCTCCAATAAGCTATAATGGCGTTTGCGTTTGAGATGTGAAACTGGCCAATTTTACAAATATTTTCACACTATGGTTTTATTTGACTTGATACTTAATTAATAATATATTTTTATATTAAATTTCATAATTAGTTTAATTTATTTTTTTTAATTTTCTATACGCTTTTTTTTTAATTTAATCCCTCGTACCAACAGACCTAACCCAAAAGAAAGTCAAATAAAACACTTTGAGAACAAACATAATTACCATATTTTATATATTTATTTGAATTTGAAGGGCAGGGTATGTCGGCTCTTAGGTTCGTCCCCTGTTTCCTAATGTCATTTGGGTTGTACATTATTTTACATTTTTATTTTTAATTTATTAAGCAAGTATATTTTTATTCCATAAACTTAATGTAAGTGATATTATTCATATTGTTTAATATAATTAAAATATCACAGCAACTAAATATCAAACTCATAATTAAGTTCTCATGGAGTTAAATATGGTGGTAGACTTCTAGGTTGAGACAATTTATCCAATTAGACCAGTTGGGAACCCACCCAGATGAAATAGACTAGTTTAATTTCAAGCCCGGTTCATCAAAATCCAGCCCAAGTTTCTCTTTCTTACAAACATTAAACCAATAAAATCTTTGTCTGATCAAATCTTTGTCCCTGTTCTGTGTCTATGATCTTCCTCGCCCTTCATGTGATCAGCTGTAAAGATTTCATTCATTCGAAACAATAATCGCTTTAAGTTATGGATGTATAAGTAGCAATTTAAGAATCGTGTTTTCTACAAGGAACGGTAAGAAATTTAATACGCTTCCCTATTTTTTTGTTTGATTTAATAATACGTTGCCATTATAGATTGAAATTGTGGAGATTTAGATGTTTGCATTTGCTCATGCAATGTTGTTATTTTAGCTTTGTCAGCTAACAATGAATAAAGAATGTTGATTAGAGTTGAGAAATCCAATTGAGATTGAGTTGGTTATTGATTTGACTCGGAGGAATGCAATCTATAGCCCTAAAGTTTGCAACTTTGTTTTGGGTTACTAAAGTTCAATCTAGAGTCACTTTTATAGGTTGGAAGGGGGGGGAAAAAAATCCAAGGGAGAGAAATCAAGAGAAACTTCAGAAGAATTGTGTATCTTTAAACTCTGAACCAATGAGGGAGGAGCTAGTGGAGATGGCTGTTAAGTTTCTATTACATCCGACTGTCGGAAGAAGTCCGATTAGCCAGAGGCGTTTGTTTCTCGAGAATAAAGGCCTTACGAGTGATGAGATAGATGAAGCCTTTCGTCGTGTTCCTGTGAGCACATTGATCTTTTTGCTTCATACATGATTCTATGTAATTTCTTCTTTTTGCTTCTATATTTTGATAACATTTTATTTTTCCTGTTGTGCAAATTGAAGGATGCTACATCAAGTGTATCATTTCGACAAGACATTAACTCGAGTCAAGGTAATAAGTTTAAGCTTTTGACATGTTTCATCCATGGAATAGTTTTAAGCTTTTAACAAAGATTGTTAGTTCCGGCAATGTACTTAGTAACCTTATACCCTAAAGTGTGATCACAAGCACATTTTTATGGATGATTCCTATCAATTATTAAAAACAGATGTGCAATCAAAGCCATTTGCTAGTGTTCAACTACAAGGCACACCGCAGTCCTCCCAACCTCTGGCGGAATCGATGCTCACAGTTTCTCGATCATCCCGGTTTTCCTGGTCATACGCAATTGTTTCTGTAGTGCTACTTATTTTTTCTGGCGCCGGGACTTCCATGCTCCTAAAGGTAATAAAAACAAGTTGGCATTAGTAGCTTGGTGTAAAAAATTCCCAAAATGTTTATTTTTGTTGTAGCATGTTACTATGTTAGTATGGTTCCCTTGTTTGATGTTCTATTGTCTGTTTAGAAATTCTTTTTGCCCGGGTTGAAGTCATGGATCCGTAAGGTTGTTCTGGAAGAGGATGATGACGATGAAGGAAGACACTCGAAACAAAGCTTGTCTAAAGAAGCGATCGAAGCTGCCAAGGCAGCTGCAGTGGCTTCCGTCGTTGCTGCAAAATCTAGTCTGCAAATGTTGCAGTCAAATAAAGAAGGTGAGTTTTATCCAAAAGATGCTTCGGCCTTGTTCTTTTAGCAACTTACATGACATGCTTGATTTTGATGTATTTGTAAGAGGCTCTTTTCATCTCCCCTGCCCCTTTAACATTACGTTTCTACTTTTGAGCTGTTGATCTCTAACAGATAACGGCACTGATTTTATCCTTTGCTAGAGGGGAGACACTTTGATGTTCTGTTAAGACGTTTAGGCATCCATATAGCAGAACTGAGGTCGATGAGTATAACGGTACAGAGACTGGATAGTGCTAGGACTGCTTCCTACAAACACACTGATCAGTACAGTCAGCGCACATCACAGAATGGTAGGCTGCATGGTTTAATTATGCAAATTTGTATTCTTTGTTTACATCTCAATCATTTCCTTTTGCTTCATCGTCGCAAACAAGTTGTAAATGCTTCAGTTACCATTCGTGCTGTCTCATATGTTTCTAACTAATTATGAATCTGTTTTTAACTGATTCAAGATTAATAGTCTTTCCATTTTTACTTTCTTTTTACCCCAAAACTGAAGTAATGATATGTTTATGGATTACATCAATACATTTATTACCGAGTCTTTGGAATAATGATACGTTCGGGTACAATATCCTCTTTTAGTAGTCCTTAAAATTTTGGTGGAGTCCTGTAATTAATGTATCATACAATATCCTCATTCGGAGCTTTGTGATTCCTCTTTAGTATTTAGATCCATCGTCAGTAGGATCTGTTAACAAGTTTAATAAATGGTCTTTTTTCTTCTTCGGAAATACTCTCTTCTAACAACTTTAGTGTTTCAGCTTTCTTCTCTTAGGAAATGTAACAATGTTTTGAATTTGTCTTGATTTGTTTTTGCCTCTTTGAAATAATCAGGACTTGATAGCAATCTGTCAAAGGCATCTGTCGTACACGGAGATTACCCAAGAAACTTCCCCAGTCCGATGGTAATTCAACAAGGCTCATATACTGCTTGGAATCCGTAATGTTGTCATATTTCACCGAGGCATTACTTGAACATCCCAACTCTAATGACTTTGTTTCTTCCTTTTCCATTCAGAAATTTAGAACAAGTGGTGTGCCAAATTTTGATAGTTCAGGTACCTTTCCTATCTCTTCTCAGTATTATGTTCTCTTCCTTCTATCTAGTTCTGCATTTGGGCTAAATATTGCGATTGCTTGTTTGTTTTCTTTGATGATAGGAACTTCTACAGTTAGGCCTTCATCTGCATCTTCGAGACCCTCTGCCGGCCAGCACCCAAAGTCTTATATGGAGGTATTTTATTTTTCATTTCTTTTTCACATCGTTAGCACTTCGATGATAAAATTTAGCGTTAGATAGGTGAATGGTTTCTTTGCATAAATGGCCCGGTGAATTGTACGCTACGTATCACATTTTAGCACAGCAAAGTTCCTTTCAGCTTTCTCATGTTATCTACAACTAAAGTCGGTAAGTTTTGCAGATCATGGGTAAGATACAAAGAGGAGAGAAACCTCCTGGAATAAAAGTAAGCACTCATCTCCACGGTCGATAAAAGAAATGTGATTCATCGATTTGATTTTAATGTTATATTTCTTATTTTGGATTTCAGGATATCGACGATTCACCTCCAAATCCTCAGATAACTCCAAGACTTAAGGTAAGTCATTCCGAAAAGTCATCATAGTCTCTTGCTTGCTGCTCTTTGCACAATATACGTGAGGAATTAAATAAAACAACTGCAAGTGAAACCAGATAACGGCCTTTTTCTTTTCTTTTTTGATTACAAGAGAAAATTAAACAGATAACGGCCTTCCTTAAAATGTACCACATAACTACGGATTTAATATTCTTGTTTTTAGTTCTATCTTTAGCCATTTCCGTTAGTTAAACCTTGTGTTTCGAACAGCCTTGGGAATCTCGACTGCAGAACAACTTCGGTTACACACCGGGAAAAGGGTTTTCTCAGCCAAATGGAGAGAATGGACAGCCATGGTGGAGACGTAATAATAATACCAACGGTAGAGTGGAAGCCGGGAGTCCGAGGATCGACAAATAGCCGGTTCAGCAGTCTTCAGGTATCTCACTCCCCCCCAATATTAAGAGTAGAGGGTCTCGTCCCAAATCATCGGCTTCCGGTTGAGAAGTATGGAATTCATGATTCAGAAGATATGCATAAGAACACTGTATACTTTGTTGAGTTGGTCTAGTTACAGGTGGAATGGTCATCTTTGGTTTGAAGTTTGAGAACAAAATCTATAGAAATGTTGTGTGGATGCGATGTTCATAAAAGAAAAATCAATTCAAATATGTGAAAATCACTACTTGATAGATGCTAACGACAACTTATTCTGTGGCCTTTATTTATATTTTTCAATTAAATATGATTTAAAAAAGTAAAATTCGGAATGAGAGTTTAATTGTGTGTATCAATATTAAACATTTAATAAGAGAGTTTTAACTTTTTATAATTTTATTTAATTTGGCTAAATTAATCTATATTTAATTTGTTAAATGGATGAGTGGAGAATGTTTTACTATTTCTTAATTCTGAAATTTCTTCACGCGTTATATATCCTTACAAATAATTCCAAAATTATAATTTATAAAGACAATTTAGATTATTACAAACACACACGAGTACGTATTTGGATTATAAATTATTGGGTAAATTGCACTTTTAGTATCCTAACTATCACTTTTATTTTGTTTTGGTCATCCGATTATTTTTTAAAATTATACCTAACGTTTAATTTTAGTTTCATTTTAGTCATCCGTCGTTAAAAAAATAACAGTAATATGTTGTCATTGAATTTAAAAAAAATGAAATATAAGCAATTTTGTTAATTTTTTAACAATGAGTGACCAAAATAAAACTAAAATGTAATGTTATGTATGATTTTGAAAAAAAATAGTTAGGTGATCAAAACAAAATAAAAATAGTATACTAAACGTATAGTTTAACTTGTATTTTTCATAATACGTGTCTTCAAACTTTGCTGTTATTGTTCGATTTTTCATATGTTTTGTTTTGTTTTTTTTTTTGTTTAGGTTCCAGAGGACAATTACGATGCTTCAAAACCAAAGTCGTACATAATAGAAAAAATATATTAAATATTAAGGCTTGAATGTGGAATTGTAGAATTTTATATTTTTAATATTCTAAATAAAGTAATTAATTAAATTTTAATTTGATTGTTGCAACTACCAAACCCCTTGCTTGAATGGGTTTGGTGGATTTATGCCTAAATTAGATCCTGTACCAAAAAGGGATGTCGAAATAATTTGATTAAATTCTAAACTTAATTGTCAACTAAATTTTAAACTTGATCAATGGATAAAATACTTATATTATTTTGAAATATCGAGATCAAATATGTTCACAAAATCATGTGTAGTTATTTATTCGTTTTGAAAATTTATGTGTAAGATCAATTATTGTAATTGTGATTATAATACTTAGGAAATCTGTAAGTAATTAGAATCATAAAAAATAAATAAAAACTTTTTAATCATATCAAAATATTTTTTTTGGTATAAAATAATATTTATTAAAAAAAATTAATTGTTTGACAATGATACTTAAATATATTTACCGCCTACATCGGTAAAAGAAATACAAATAATAAGTTATCATAAACCCAATGTTGGGCTTCTCCAATAATTTCGTTTAGATAAATATATAAACAAATTACTATAATATAAAACACTGTACTCTCAAAATTTACAAAAATAATAATAAAATTAAAATTAATTTTAATTTTAATTTTAATTAATTAAGTAGAAACCTAATATGGATGAACATTTCTGCTAAAGCCGCTGACGTTTGTGAAAAACCCGATCTGCTTATACGGTAAATACGACCGCCTTTTAATCCCTTCCTTTTGTGCTCTGTTATTAATGTAAAGCTTTTCGTGAGCTGAAGGTGACGCCATTTTACCGCTCTTCTCTGTCTTCTTCACCTTTGGTTTCTCTAAGATTGCTTTGGACGTCAATTTCTTCTCTTCTCTTTCGTTTTTCTTCTCAGTTTTTATCGACGAGGACGACGACGACGACGAAGAAGAAGAAGAAGGCGGAGGATGGCTTAAGAGGACGAACGCGGTTTTGCCGTCGCTATTACATCGAAGCTTCAAATCTCTGAACCTCCAAAGCTTGGAGAATCCCGTGGAGTTGCTCTTTCGACAAGTGTCCGGTGAGGCTTTCTCCACGGTTTTTGCACCTCTCCACTCGCAGTACGGTCCCTCCGGTTCCGACGTCGCGTCCGTTGAATCTTCCACGAAAACCTTCCTCACCTGAGGCGGTAGAGCGACGTCACCCTCGTCGGTCTTCAAAATGGTACCGTCTTCGTCGACGAAGAGGAGATCTTGATTGAATAACGGAAAAATCGGACGGATCTGACCGTCTTGGAACAAGTCGTCCGCAGAAATCGGGGATCCATGAGGACTTAAACAAACAAACGAAAACTCTTCCTCTTCCTCTTCGCTTTGTTCTTCCTTTTCATCTTCATCTCCTATTTCCGACTGACTGTTCAATTTCTTTTCATCTCCATCTCCTATGTCCGGCTGACTGTTCAATTTCCCTTCTCCTTCCTCGTCAGCCTCCTCGTCTCTGAGCTGCAGTTTAAGTCCGAAATCGTAGCTGAACTTTCCTGTGCCGGAGAAGCTGTTAAAGGTGGGAGACAACAACGGTGAAGAACTCATGACTTGCATCGCAAAAAACAAAGAAGAAGAAGAATTTCAAGAACGAAAGCCTTTGATTATGTATGGTTTTGCGGCAGATAAGTATATAAAGGAGAAAATAAATTTAAGAAGTCGGTTTGAGTTTGTCGGGTTTTAAATAGAAGTGGTTGGTTGTAGGGTCGAAACTTCCACACTTTTTTTAATTAATTAAAAATAATAATATTAATTATGAACGCGGAAATATTTACAGCAATACTGTAAATGCAAGGAAATGAGAGAGACCTCAATCAAGACGAAATACGTCGAGCTTTTCTATTTTACTTTTTTTCCTTTTGGGAAAATGACCTTTATCTTTTTTTCATTATTTTATTAACTTTTACTCTAGTTTTTGCATTTTATATCAAATATGTTCTTAAAATATTTAATACAAAAATATTAAATTTTCATTTTATATTATGAGTTAAAATATAATACACCGGTTAAATATATTTAAAGTAAGGTTTTTTGCGTTAATATTATTTTTAAATGATAGCTAAAACAACAAAGGTGAAAAAGCGAAGTTGGTGGTTGATAGACAAGTAACACGTGTAAAAAATATCTGCTGACGTAAGGTTATAAAAATATCTGCTGCGCCTAATGAATTTAAAATATATTATTTAACAAAAAAATAATTAGGGAAATTAATTACATAATGATGTGGAAAAAGTAAAAGTTGGCATGGTGCATGTGCAAAGATATTGTTAAACAATAAAAAATTAATTCATCATACATGGTAAGGATGCATCATCCGTGATGTAATGGGGTATATGCCTTGCCTTGAGCAAGAGCAACAAGTGTATTCCTTCCCCCTTAGTCTTTTTACTAAGTAGAGAGTTCTAGAAATAGACTTTTCAAAAGTCAATCCATTCATGTGGTTCTAGAAATAATTTTTTTTAAAGTCCATCAGGTAAATAACTGGTCGACTCCGTTACATTTGTCTATTTCATCTTTATATTCAATGGACGCTTCTTAAATATTTTGAGTAAACTCTACATTTAGTATCTAAATTATAAATTATATTTTATTTTAATACCTAAATTTTTATTTATTTTAAAATTATACATAACGTTTACTTTTTGTTTCGTTTTGGTATCTATCTGTTAAAAACTTAACGGAACTGTTACAACATGGTATTTTTTATGGATAAATTACATCATTCATTACTCAGCTACATTCTCACTCCAATTTTGGTTACTGAAGTTTAATATTTTTAATTTAATTATTTAACTTTTAAATTACTCATAATGTAATCACTCTAACTTCAAAATTTATTTTTTATTTTAATTATATATTAATAAAATAATAATGATAAATGTCATGCCACAAAAATTATCAATAAAATAAATTAGAGTAATTAAAACATGAGCAATTTAAAAGTTGTGTAGTTAAATTTAAAAAAATTAAACTTTAGTGACCAAAATAAGAGTGAGAAGATAGTTAAGTGATGAATAATGTAATTTATCCATAGAAAATGTCACGTGTAGTAGTTCTATTAAGTTTTTAACGGTGATGTACTAAAATGAAATAAAAAATAAATATTTAGAATGATTTTAAAATAAATGAAAGTTTAAATATCAAAACGAAACAAAATTGATAAATTTAAATATTAAGCGTGTAGTTTACCCATATTTATATGCTAAAAATCAAATCCATTTTAATGAAATGACGAAAATAATAAAAAATAGAATTTAACTCAATTAATATACAACTCATCTATATCTATATCTATATCTATATCTATATCTTTATTTTTATATATTTATATAGATATGAATGACTTGAGTGGGTCAGAGACATTAACTAATTGATAAGATGTTAAAATGTCAAATTCATTCAACGTAGGATGAATTTTATCATTAGTCACCAATTTATTATTTCTTTTCTATATTAGTCATCAAACTATTTTCTGTTATAAATTTTCACTAGCATTATGTTATTTTTAGTCACCAGTTACTAAAAAATTAACGACGATACTAACAAATTATTTAAATTCTCCACGTCGGTTTCTCTTTCTCATTAGCAACACATGTATTATTTTTTAAAATAATCTTGTATGGACTAATAAAATGATGACACGTGTTCTCATTCCATTCTCATGAGAAAAAAAAATCACATTGTGTCGTGTGTTGATAATATTTCACACAAAAAAAAAACATGAAAAATTAATGATCAAAGAGCTTAATTGATTTAAATGTTTAGTTTTAGATATTAATTTTCAATTTTTAATTCAAAAGGTCAGTTAAATATCAAAATATTCAAAGACCTAAAATATATTTTTTTACAAAAAAATTAAAGACTTTGTACACCTTAAATGTAATATAATGTCCTCGTAAAATCTAATTTTAATTTAATCAAATAATAGTTGTTTGAAAACTATGATTCTAGACGATATTATGAGTTATATTGTCAAACAATAACCAATCATCTTTCTAGACAATGTTTGAAGTGACGAGAAGCAATTATAAAATAATGTAAGGGCAGATTAGAATGATTTAATGATGTTTTTATCACGATGGAATCATTGGATAAGGTTGGGTTGTAACCATAATAAAGAAAACAACTGGACGAGGTCAGTTCATTTTGGAACATTCGATGTTGGAGTTAGGCTGCTTGTAATAAACACATTTTATAAGTCAAGGTCAAGGTGGGCAAACAGGCACTTTTTAAGTTCATTTACCCAAACAAAATAAATTAATAGATTAATCTCATAAACTTAAAATGTAATTAAATGAATATATTTAATTTAATTTGAATTTTGTTTAGGGTTAATTTCATCATATATCCCCAAGTTGTTATTCATTTTCAAATTTGATCCTTAAATTTAAAAAAAAAAATTAATTGAGTCATCAAAAGATCAATATGATATCAATCAAATCTTTTTGTTAGCTAATCAGTTAGTTTGGGCGTTAAATGCTAGTACAGGACAGAGTCAGGATTGAACTAAGAGAGGGATATACTGTTTAACTTTGAAATAAATAAGGTCTTTAAAATTGAATAAACCATAAAATTTAAAGGAGTTATGGTTTAATTTCTCTAATTTTAAAATTGAAGGATCTTAAAGAGTAATTAAACCAGAAAAATTAGAAGTCAAAATTTGATTTAAAACTGAAAGGGTCCTGAAATATAATTAAACCAATAAATTTTAGGAGGGACAAATATAAATAAATAAATAAATATATACCCATTACATTGATAATTTAAATTTAAAGTGTTAAGAAAATTTACTAAAAATGTCATCTTATAACGGTCAGATAAATTGAAGCATAAGAATTTTTTTATTAATATGGGGTGAGTATAAGGTATTATATGTTTAAAGACTCTCAACTATTTAATGTTGAGCAAACATATCCCCGATATATATGGTGCTCGAACCCAAGACTTCAAAGAAAAAATAATAATTTCTAAATCACTAAAATTACTTTGTTCATGCTTAAGCATGAGAATTAAATATTAGCATTTATAGCATCCCCTTAACTTGTTAGTATTGTTTAGTAGTTGACTGAGTTGTTTCAAACTCCAATCACCAATTCTTGATTGATGCCAAGGGGTTAGTGTCTCACACTTTTCTTCTCCTCCAAGGCTTGAATTCCTTGTAGCCCACCTCAACTACGAGTTGGTTGGTTGGTTGAGCTCAGATTAGGTTAAAAATGAAGCCAAGGGGTTAGTGTCTCACACTTCTCTTCTCCTCCAAGGCTTGAATTCCTTGTAGCCCACCTCAACTACGAGTTGGTTGGTTGAGCTCAGATTAGGTTAAAAATGAAGCCAAGGGGTTAGTGTCTCACACTTCTCTTCTCCTCCAAGGCTTGAATTCCTTGTAGCCCACCTCTACTACGAGTTGGTTGGTTGAGCTCAGATTAGGTTAAAAACTAGGTTTACACACACACAAATCAAATCAATTTAAAATATAAAATAGATTCGAGTTTAAGTTTTAACGTTGACTCCATCTATTTTATAAGTTTATAGTGTATTATATATAATTCGATTTATAATATAAAAATAAATTTGTAATAGTATGTATAACAAGTGTTTAACTGCCAACGACACAATGTATTGATTTCTTTCAACATGTAATCTTCCCCATTTCCCTTCTTCAAAGTATTGTTTCAATCCCCAGTTGTCTTCAAATTTCTTGCTACTATTTCTAATAACGTAAAAAAAAATCATGAACAGGGCTTTCAAACTTTTTTCGATTGATCTATAGTTTGAATTTTCATTCTTTTAGTGGTTTTACTAATTAAAAAAGGGATAAACTATACAAATGGTCAATAATATTTGAATAAGTTTTTATTTTTCCCATTGAAATTTCAAAATTAACAAATTAATCATTAACGTTATCGATTTATAACAAATCAGTCATTCAATGCTAATAATCTTTATTGTTTGTGACGAAAAGCTGATGTGACACGTTAATCGTTGGCTTGGCATCATTTGACCACGAGACAATCATTTTGACATATCTTTTTCTTTAATATCCAACTTCTTTTAACTCCTCAAAAATCCATCTTTTTTTCACTTTAATCTTCCAATCTCCTGATACTTGTTTCAGTTATGCATCTTTCCTTCGAACTCATGCATGGAATTTTATGTGATGTTTAAATTAGGTGAAACATAAGGGAATTTCAATTTTCCTAATGCATGCAGGGATGATTGGAACATTTCAAGCTGTATATACGGGTTTCTCCAACCTCGTAATTTCTTATCAATCTCTGGTTCTTTCCTAAAGAGTGATTTAATAACCCTAGTTTTAGAGAGTTCGAATTGAAGACTATTTTGTTGATAAAAGGTTGGAGATAAAGCAAGCAGCTGAAGGGACACAAGGACTTGTTGAAGCTCGTGTTTACAATACAGAGGAAGTGTGAGAGCTTCTTAAGTATTCGCTTGTTGAACCCTTTACGCTTTCCTATTATTTACTCTATTCGTATTCGCTGCACTATAGTGGATCGACGCATGGTCCCACATCATCATTAACAACTCAGATTTAGCTCATGTTCTCCAAGCTATTCATCATCAACTACTTATAAATCTCAAAGCCAAGGTATTTGTTTACATACTTAAAACCAGAAGTTGCATATCTGCTTTAAAATATAGAATTTGCTAGGTTTAATATATTAAGTAAAATAA